GTGTGATTGAAGGCAACTTTCTTATTTGATTAGTGATCAATGGCTGAACTGATAGAACTTAAAAAAATTATGTGATGATTTTATGTTTTAAGAATATTGTATTATTGACACAACTAACCAATTCCCTTAGTTTTTATCAATTTCACAATTCAAACTGAAATGAGAGGCTGATGGAATAAATGACATTTAAACGACGTCATAAGGCATTGTGCTCGTTTGTTGGATTCAGTGGATAAGCATTTATGAAAATGAAAGAAATGGGTTTGTTGTGTCAATAGTATGTGACAAGCAAAACTGTTATCTGCTGTTAAAATAATTTTCAATAATAAAAAAATGCATTCTGACTTTGTATGATCTGCAAAAAGTCTTGCACTAATTCCTGTAAGAAATTGAATAATTGAAGTCACCAGCAAAATGTCTGGAAAAAAAAAGTTTAAATAGTGAGTTTTTCTGTCTGTTGAAGTTGCACTCTAAGAGCATTCAGGAAGCTTTATTATTGGGATTATTATATAATGTATGGCTTTGGATTTTATTCATGAGAATTCTTATCCAACAAAATTTTGAAATCGAATTTAGAAGTATTACTTTAAATATAAAGAAAAGTACCGTGAGTGATTTATAAAAACATTTACATTCATTTTGGTATTAGCCTCCATGGCGATCTGTGCAGAATGGTATCAGTGCTCCAATACGTCATGATTTGTTGCCATTCCAACTGATTTAATCATTTTTCAGGTTGATCACAATGATTCAATTAGAGAATGTAACTGGACACTTACTGATCGCACAACGTAGTACTTTGAAAACTAGCTATTAAGTTTAAAATGAATCAGTGCTCTCCCCAGCATGCAAACAGAGCAGCGGTACCGCCACAGTGCTTTGTTTTACTGCCACACTGGTCTGACTCAGCCATAGTCGATATCCTGACTGCTACAGTGTCGTTTTCACTGTGTCATTGATGATTTTTTAAATCAAATTGATCAGTTGCTGAAAACCTGAAACTTGTGTTAGTGTAGTTGTAACACTCATTTGTAAGTCAATTAATAGTAAACTGTGTAATTGCTTAGAATATTCATCACTGTTTGGAATAAATATGCAAATATTTTGCAAATTCATATGTAAATTTTCTTGCCACGAGGGTTCAAATTTCTGGAGAGAACACTGAAGGAAGATTGTTGATCTCCTGTTATATTACTGTCTTTAGTTTTAATACACTGAAGGGAAAACTGTAATAATTGAAATAAATTATTTTCTCTTACTAGGAATTAGGTCGTGACCCCAGTGATGATTTGAATACGCAATTAACGGTCTTTGAAGACCAAAAAGAAGATGACTTGGAAGAACTTTCTCACAGATATAATAATATTAGAATGGAATTAGAATATCCTTTGCAGAAAAATTTTTAATTTTGTGTAATATTATTATGCCAATTTTTCCGCTTGAAGTTTTATTATTGTTTTATTACAAGAAGAGTCAACCATTTTATATTCAAAAAATGTTATGCAATGTTTCTACAATTCCCAAATCACCACAAATGATTCTATCACTGAATTATATTTAACAAAACAAAGTATTTTCAGTAAAAGCAATCGACTGCGACTAAATGACTAGAGAAAATCAAAGTCTCAATTATTACCATTTGCATGTTTAAACTACCCATTACATTATGGGAGCATTTGGTTCAATCGATGATGATGTGTTTATTCAATTTCACCATCTTTGAAGTCCTTTTCATATTTTTAATGTCGGAAACTATGCCCTCTATGGCTTTCTTCAAATTTCATTTGTTTATAATACAATAAGTCCCAATCCTCAAATAATGGCAAAAATACCTGCTATTTACCATACTTATGACACCCATGATATGGACACTAAACCATTTGTTCTAGCAATGCATGATGGGTATTATGCAAATGATCTTCTTTGTGAAATATAATTAGGTATTGAATTGTTTTTACCTTAACTTCGTTGCACTGATCCCCAGGATTTATTTACCCTTCTTTTAAATACAACATCGAATACCGCTGCAGAACCTTTTTTTCTGTCTATTTTACAACATTTACTATCTATCAGAGATGATACATATGCAAGGTTAGTCTATCATATATTTTATTATACTCGTAGTTTAATAGTTTCCATAGATCCTGTAGACAACATAAAATACACCTATTTTGCCGTACTGCACAGTGTATACCTTCAGATAGCATGTTTTTACATTGGTGTCATGTTGATTATTTCAAATTTGGGAGGGTGAAACTTATTAAAGCCTATTTGTAACAAAATTTTAGGACTAAGGTATATAAGTATTACATTACAAGTACCGTAAAATCTGTATTAGAAGCTGCATCCCTAATAGAAGTCGCACCCATTCTTTTTGAGCAATTGAGAACCAAAAAAACACCATTTCTTATATGTGTAGATGCTCTAATAGAAGCCACATCCCCTCTGTTGCATTGTATCATTTTATTAGGAGCCGCGGCTTTTACTACAGATTTTACAGTACATGTGTTATTAAGTATTTATATAGGCTTGATGCTATCACGTCATCCAAAACTATATTCAGTTGTGACTACTGCAGTAATTAGTTTTAATTTAATGTTGATCGAATGAGTGTCTTTGTGAACTGTTATAACCTGTGTTCTTGCATCTTGCATTGCCAGGCCACAGTACTATAAACTCATAGAAGAGTGTGTTGCTCAAATTATACTCCATAAAAGTGGAATAGACCCAGATTTCAAGTCAACAAAGCGATTTGTTATTGATGTTGATCCGTTGGTAGAAGGACTGGCGGAAAAAGCTAGCGCCGAACAAAATGCAGAGAAGGTGTCCAAGCTGCAGAAAGATTTGGAAGAGGAGTGCACAGCGAGGCAAGAGTCTGAGGCCAAATTGACGCAGGCAAATACAAAAATTGAACAACTGGAGTTGGATATGAACAATTTGAAACAGAAGGTTAGTTTCACATGCCAAAACATGTTTAGCTGTTGTATGTATGTAATCGTCATTTACTCAAACATGTAATTACATTTCTGAAACTTACTTTATAGTTGTGCACTTGTGTTAAAGTGTTATTAAGATATTTTCTGATGTTATTTATAAAAATACCAAAACTATGAAACTGCCAGGACTAACTATCAAGTAAATAGGAGACATGTCCCATCGACCACATTTCTCAATCCAACCATATTAGGGTGTTCAGCTGCTATCAGTTTCTCCATATATTTTATTCACTTTTCAAAAACAGTTATCAGCCATCTCAACATTCTTTCTCGTATTTATTTAGTTAAATGGTCATTATTTCATTTTCAGATTGCAAGTGGTTCAGTGAACATGTTAGATATTCAAAATCCTGGAGGAGCACCGAGTACTGGAGCACCACCGCCGCCTCCTCCACCTCCTCCACCTCCGCCACCTGGTATGGGTGGTCCACCCCCACCTCCACCACCTCCACCCCCACCACCTGGCATGGGGGGACCACCACCCCCTCCACCTCCACCTCCACCACCTCCTGGCATGGGTGGACCCCCTCCACCACCTCCGCCACCAATGCCAGGAATGGGTGGGGCACCTCCTCCGCCGCCACCACCAGGAGGGGGTGTATTTGTGATGGGTGCAGCGCCGTTGTTGGGAAACACTCCGTCACCCCAGGTTAACCAGTTGCCTTACGGAATGCAAGCCAAGAAGCAATATGTGCCAGAAACACCAATGAAAAGAGCTAACTGGGATAAGGTACAATCATACATTAAAGGGCGGCAGTCATCGCGCCGCGTCCTGTTCGATATGGGACTCATAGCGATGTACACAACGCGTTTAAAATACATGTTTATTTACATGAAATTCGAAAGACATGCTGCGCGACGACCACCGCGCTTTAATATTGTATCCTCGCATTCAAACATATTTTTTTTCAAAATACAACCCCCTTCTCCTGATGACTATAAAATCCTGTTACATGTTTCATTATACCATTTATTGGTTACAAGGAAAATACAACATGATAGATAACTTGTCGATTTCAATATCAGCTGGTTTTTGTACTATAGATGAATTGATTTCGTGTGTCATTAATTCAACTATATCACTCTGTTTTTCAGATCAATGCAAGGAATTTAAAGAAAGACTCCTTCTGGACTCAAGTGGATGAGGGGCGCTTAGAGGATGATGAAATATTGAAAACATTGGCAAAGACATTTACAACAGCAAAACGTAATTTCCCTTATATTTTTATTGTAAGCAATTGGTATAAAAATTAAGCTAAGTGAAAAGTGTCTTGCAAAGGATGTTGCAAAGTGACTTTGTGATCAGGAGATGCATGAGTTGGATGTATGTAACTATACAGTAATCACATCTACAATCACAATATCAAGGCTATATTCACTGCTGCCTTTATCTTGGATGCTCCAGCTGATTGCAGTCTGATAGTTCTTCACAGTTACAGTCAAGACACTATTTTAGTATTTAGCTTTGGAAGTCTTACCTTCTGAAGTTCATTCCCTGCTACATGCCTATTTTGCATACTCTCGCCTTCACTGCCATTCTCATAATATGAATCAACAGAATTTGATAGTACAGAATGTGTTTTTTATTTTCAGCAAAGAAAATTGGCGGAACTGACGCAGCTAAGAAAGAACCGGCAAAGAAGAAAGTTAAAGAATTAAAAGTCCTGGATGGGAAATCAGCTCAAAATCTTTGTAAGCCCTAAGGTTTATTCTGTAAAGTTGAGTGCTTTAATTTGAAAGAATTGTTGTGATTGACTAGATTTAGTAAATCTGGACTAGTACCATGTATATATTGCGAAAATCTGCGTATCTTCTTCCATCTTCATCAAAAAAAAAAAAAAAAATGATTCCGCAAACTATCATGTTCCCCTGCTTTTTTAAACTGAACTATTTGACCTTTATTTCAGCTATTTTCCTGGGTTCCGCTAAATTACCCCATGAGGAAATCAAAAGGAGAATATTGGAGGTTGATGGTGTGACTGAAGAAATGGTAACAGCACTTTTAAAAAACATGCCAGAGCCAGAACAGTTAAATATGTTGCTGAAAATGAAAGACAAATATGACGACATGAGTGATCCAGAACAGTTCTGTGTTACGGTAAGTCATATAGACATGTTAGCGGCCACATGGACTAAAACTCACTGGTGGGTTTTCTTTTGAGTGGCTGTCGGGCATTCTAACTGAATCAAGACTACTATTGGTAATAATTGTGAACTAGAGCAAGAAACTGATACTTTCTTGCACTTTGAGAAGAATTGTTGGTATTCTTACCATGTCTTTGGTGAGAATGCAGATCCCCCCTGCTTCAATGGCAAGAATACCAACCCACACTCATTTGGCGAGAATATAAACTCACACTGTTTCATTTGTGAGAATATAAACTCACACTGTTTCATTAGTGAGAATATAAACTCACACTTTCATTTGTGAGAATATAAACTCACACTGTTTCATTGGTGAGAATATAAACTCACACTGTTTCATTGGTGAGATTATAAACTCGCACTGTTTCATTGGCGAGAATATAAACTCACACTGTTTCATTGGCGAGAATATAAACTCACACTGTTTCATTTGTGAGAATATAAACTCACACTGTTTCATTTGTGAGGATATAAACTCACACTTTCATTTGTGAGAATATAAACTCACACTGTTTCATTGGTGAGAATATAAACTCACACTGTTTCATTGGTGAGATTATAAACGCACACTGTTTCATTTGTGAGAATATAAACTCACACTTTCATTTGTGAGAATATAAACTCACACTGTTTCATTTGTGAGAATATAAACTCACACTGTTTCATTTGTGAGGATATAAACTCACACTGTTTCATTTGTGAGAATATAAACTCACACAGTTTCATTGGTGAGAATATAAACTCACACTGTTTCATTGGTGAGAATATAAACTCACACTGTTTCATTTGTGAGAATATAAACTCACACTGTTTCATTTGTGAGGATATAAACTCACACTGTTTCATTTGTGAGAATATAAACTCACACTGTTTCATTTGTGAGAATATAAACTCACACTTTCATTTGTGAGAATATAAACTCACACTGTTTCATTTGTGAGAATATAAACTCACACTGTTGCATTTGTGAGAATATAGACTCACACTGTTTCATTGGTGAGATTATAAACGCACACTGTTTCTTTGGTGAGATTATAAACTCACACTGTTTCATTTGTGAGAATATAAACTCACACTGTTTCATTGGTGAGAATATAAACTCACACTGTTTCATTTGTGAGAATATAAACTCACACTGTTTCATTGGTGAGATTATAAACTCACACTGTTTCATTTGTGAGAATATAAACTCACACTGTTTCATTGGTGAGAGGCCTTCCAACTAGTATTTATTATCATATATGCAACTGTATACTTATTATTTA